CATCCTCTAAAAAGACAGCAGGGGATAAGGCAAGAATGCATTAGAGACAGAAAACTCTGAAGAAGATACTCCCTTCTGTGCATCTTAGAAGGAAACCCAGCAAGGTCCATCACAGCCTGGAATTCCATATTATGCTTTTGATTTCACAAACTAGCAGGTTTTGAGCAGTCAGTGGAGCACCTCAATGAGGAAGATATGAAGGCAAAGGAAATCACTGCTTGGAGAGAAAGAACCCAGGTGCCCCTAAGTTTGTAGAAGAAAATACCCTCTGGTTCTAGCACATCAAAGTTATAGGTTCACTGGGCTAATTTGATGTAGATGAAAAATTGTGTTCTAAGGTAAACAATTATACCCTTAACCACAGCTAGCAGCCTCATAAATGCTCGCTAATGACACAAAAGGTATAATGGGCAATATAAGATGGTGAGTTTGGTGCCAACCCATCCCTATTCTTGAAAAAAAAATAGCATGTAACGTGATTGATAAGGTACTAAATATGAATACCATTCACACGTTACTCTGGCCTTGACATATTCCAACTACTCTTATTGCTCTTGGGCACTGGGCAAGAACATGAATGAGAGAACAATCCATCACACCTACTATCCGTGGTTCAATGGCCTTCATATCACAAAACAAAGGCATATTTGTTAGGTTCCTTTTAATTGCAAGACCCATATAAATACCTGAACAACATAATTTGCGACATAATGGAGTCAGTGTGTAAATAAGACACAAACTAAACCATTCCAAGTCCCAAACAATTTAAAACTCAAATGGACTTTCTACGTTTCACTTGACAGAAGAACTGGCCATAGGACCGAAATTAGAAAACTCATATACTCTGAAAAGCTCCTATACTAAAGTTCCTTTTATAGAAAAATTCAAACATACACAAAAGTAGACACCCAGGGTATAAATCCAATACCATGCTCATGTACCACCACTCAGTTTCATCAATTATCAACTCATGACCAATTCTGCTTTATCTATACCCCTAGATATCAAGTCATTTTTTCCCTTAAACATTCTAGTAAATCCTTACAATTTTGACTGAACATTGATAACAGTTCAGTGAGGTTTTGTGTTTTATGTTCATTGCCTTTTATTTTAAACTAGAGGCCTAGTGCATAAAAATCCATGCACTAGATGGGGGCCCCTCAGCCTGGCCTTCCCCCTCTCACAGTCTGGGAAACCTCAGGAGCAGGAGGCAACCCAGCAATCAAGGGAAGGCAACGCCCCATCACACCTCTGCTGTTGCCACTGCCAGCAGCGCAACCCTCAACGGGCCCTGGTTACCTGAGCCTCGGGAAACCCTGGGTGGCTGGTCAGCTGCCATCTGAGGCTTTCCTGCACCTCAGGCTGGACCTGGGTGGCTGGGGGGCTAAGGGAACTGGGGGACTCTGGAGGTAGGAGTGCAGAGCAGCAGGGCCCTCCTGGGGATTGGGCACTGCCATCTTTGGGAGGTGACAGTCAATTAGCATATTCCCTCCTTATTGGCTGTGGGTTCCACCATCTTTGAGGGGGTAACAGTCAATTAACATATTCCCTCCCTGTTGGCGTGGGAGCCATCATCTTTGAAGGAAGGGCAGTCAATTAGCATATTTCCTCCATATTGGATGTGGGCGCCACCATCTTCACAATGGTGTGAGGGTCAATTAGCATGTTCCCTCTTTATTAGATAGAATACTTATATCTGTGTAAGAGAAGAAACTAGTGTTTACTGAAAGCAAGGAGAAAATTTAGATTTTTCTCTGTGTGTGTGTGTGTGTGTGTGTGTGTGTGTGTGTGTGTGTGGTTTTGTTTTGTTTTGTGGAATATTTAGGACCTAATTGTAGATGTAAATTTTTTCCCCATCCTTCTACTGAAGGAAGAGAGAGAGCTGACAAAATATAGTCATTCAGTTTAACAAACATTCACTGAGCAATAGGGATGGGGATAGATGCTGGAGATGTAAAAAATGAGTAAAACAAAGAGCCTTTCTCTAGAATGGGTGAGACAGACACATAAGAACAAGAAACAAATGTCAAATCAATCCATGAGGCAAAGAGGTAGAGTTATAAATAGGAACACGTTCTAAAAATGGCATGTTTATCAACAGACCAATGAATAGCCTCTGAATATGTCCCAGGGGATTGAGGAGAACATAAATTATAATAAATGACCATATCTTATAAAGCAATAAAGGTAGCCAGCAGTAAAAAGGCATTTGAAATAACTTTGTTCTTACTGAACAGTGGGAAAATATTACTCCCCTGATAGGTAGTTGCTTTTTCTTCCAAGCTCTGACAGCAAGTTATATGTAACTGTTCCCATAGTTTGGTATATTATACTAGAGGCCCATTGCATGGAATTTTTGCACGGGTAGGGTCCCTAGTGGCTACTGATTGCTGTCCGGGCCTTCCTTCATCCCCCACTCTCTCCCTGGTGGTCAGTGTACATCATAGCAAGTGATCAAATTCCCAGTCAGTTGAACTCCCAAGGAGATACTTTGCATATTAGGCTTTTATATAGATTATGATATTTTATTAATTATAATTATTTGTTCATGTAGTGGTCTTCCCTTCAGACTATGAGTCCTTGAGGATAGGGTATAAATTTATTCATCCTGGGATTTAAAACCCACCCCTGCATCTACTAGAATGAAGATTTATTGAGTAAGTGAGTGAATTATTTACAGGTGACTTTTAATAAAATATACAGCACTAAAACTATAGAAAAGTTAAAATATCAATTAAGTCATAAGGGTTCTTGGTATCCTGATAATAGATTCTAGTCTCCCTTGCCTGGCGTTTAAAGCCTCTCCATCTATATTTTCCCTAATCTATCCCTTTAACCTTATCTCATCTATTCCCTTCTCTTAGGTTCTATATATGAACTACTTTCTCTTTCTTTCATAAGCTCTGTGCTTTTTCATCTCCATGCTTTTACTCAGTAATCTCTAAAGTTTTAAATTATGTAGCCCTTTCAGTATAAAATATTTGAGCATAATTAACACTGTGCAAATATAGTATGCTTATTACAAAATAATCATAAAATAGAAAAAAAAAAACATTTTAAGCAAATGCGGAAAAACATATAATTTAAATATTTTCTTTCCATACCCGATGCATTACTTCACATATGCTTCGCTTTGAAAATTACTGATTTACATATAAAGAAGAAATCTCAGATAGTCTTTGTGAAAATTAACTGAAACAAAACATGTAAAGCACTTAACAGCACTGGTTATATTGGAAACACTGTAAATACCAGTTAATTTCCTTAACATCATTAGCATCACACAGTTTCCTTCTCCTGGAATAGTGTCCACAAACCTATCCTCTAGCCTCACTCCTGTATGTCAAACCCCTGGAGGTCAAATTCAAATGTTATCTCTCTAAAGAATTATTTGAATGCATTCCTTAAGGGGTCAGGATTTCTCAGTGTAGGAAGTACCAGATCCTATAGAGCTTAGCATGAAGCCATGACTAAGAAATCAAAATAAAGCTAGAACCATTGGAAAAAATTAAGAACAATTTATAAAATAAAGGATACAAATGGAAAAAATATGTGATTATTAACCCCAATAAAAAAATACACAAAAGAAAATATAATCACAGTATATTACCTGGCTCTATAGTAAACAATGTTTAGATAGCCCTAATAATAGGAATACTGACTACTAATTTGACAAAAACTTGTAATATAACTATATGGGAAAGATAGGACATCTCTGAGATTAATTTTTAAAAAAATAGAAATTTAGGCACATTACTTTAAAACATACAGTTAACTACCAGAAGAAATAGCTAAAATATTTCAAAATGGCTATCTTAGAAATGCTTGAAAGGTAGAACCCTTTAGAACTATTTAATCTTAAAATTCTGTACATTATATTGATCACACATTTTGAAAATAAAATTTTCTTCAATTTTAAAATCAATAGCCTTCCATATGAAATAAAGATGGCAAGCTAAGCACATGCATTCACCTCTACTCTCTCCAATAACTTCAGTAACACAGCAGTGAAAAGTTTTACAAAGCCCAGAAATCTCCCAGAGAAAGGAAAAGAAGATAAAGAAACAGAGAATAAGAAAAGATAAGAAGTTTAATGCAAGAGTCCCAGCAAGCAATTAAGATTCCAGAAAAAGAGAGACAATCACCAAAGAAGCTATTCAAAAAAAGTTTCCTACAACAATTACATGATTTTTTACATTGAAAAGGTTGAACTATGCTCAACAAAACAGTCCAAATACCAGGGCACATCAACATAAAATTCGGGAGCAATGGGGGAAAGAGAAGATCTTGCCAGCCTCCAGGGAAATAACAGTAGATTTGTACAATGAAATCAGCCATGAGAATGGCATCTGCTGTTCTTCTCAATGGTAATGGGAAAAATTAACAGTCAAGGAAGTATTTCCTTTCTCTGTTTCCTAAAAGAAACAGAATTCTATATCCAGTTAACCTATTGATGTAAAGAAAGAAAAAAGAAAAAAGAAAAAAAGTGGCTCAGTGGTGGAGCATTGACCTATGAACTAGGAGGTCATAGTTTGATTCCCGGTCAGGGCACATGTCCGGGTTCCACTCTCGGTTTCCTGTGTGGGGCATACAGGAGGCAGCCGAAATTAATTCTCTCTTGTCGTATTTCTCTCCCTTCCTCTCTGAAATCAATAAAGAAAAAAATATTTTTTCAAGGCATTTTACAAGAATGCAAAGGCTCAAAATATGTACTCTATTGCACTCTTTCTCAGAAATCTATTAGATGAAGTAGTCATATAAAAAGAGAATAAAAAACAGGAAGACATGGGATCCAGGAAAAAGGAAATCCAAAGGTTCTATTGATCAATCAGATCATATTAAAACAGGTCTTGAGTTATTAGTTTTAAGATCAAATCATTATGAAGACAGTAAGTTGATTTTTTAAATGTTAAAATATTCCATGCCTTTAGGTTTACAGGTAGTTATATGTTTACATCAATTTGAGCATAAAAGAGATTACAAGAGGTTTTACTTCTTACCTGTAACACAGCAGCAAATAAGTATACTACTACGAAGATTACAGTTAGAGAAGTGTGGCCACTTTTCATCAGATGGATTGTGTAGAGGAAAATTAAGTGTCCGGGAATCACTAAAAGCAGGAGAACTTGAGCAGACTTGTGATTTACTCCTGTGATGTAAAATGCAAACATTGTTAAAACAAAATCACACTTTGGTTAATAGGTCAGTTATTGAAATTTGAGGATTACTTTTTAGTTACGATACCACATAGCATCACATAAAATTCAACTGCTAAAAATAAATGTGTTGAAATTTGGGGATTACCTTTTAGTTACTGCATCACTTAAAATGTAATGGCTAAAAATAAATTTCTTTGGAATTCTCACTATGTTATATGTTAATCAAACAAAAGGCGGTTGATCAAAATTTGCTATGAAGAACACTGGTCAAACTTTACGCAAAAACAGAGGAAAGACCAAAGAAAAAATATAAAGCTCCTACGGCACTGAAATGTTTTCATTTTGCTTTTCCTTTAGAGTTCTTCCACTGATATCACAGGCGGGGCATCTCTGATCCTCACTCAAAAGTCACAATTACATTTATTTTCATTAGAAAAAGAAAATGACAAGAATTGTGAGGCTTAAATTGTTGTTTTCGTGTTTTGTACTCACATGCCTGGTTGGCATAAATAAAGCACGTTTCTTATAACTGAGGTTATCACCCCTCATTCCGTTTATCTGGGATCAAATGCCTCCATTGAGAAGGCCAAAAAGATCACTCCAGGAAAGACAGTCTACCTGTCTCCCTAAATCACCTAGCGAAGTTTGCTTATACCCATGAGGTTCCTCTTTCCGACTCATTAACACGATATCCCAGAAAAAGGGATAAAAGAGAAAAATCATACAGAGCTCCTCAATAACTGCAGAATTGATACAAATGATTTTTGCTCACCAAGACTTAGTGAACGAAATCTGTCCTAATTAAGAGCTATTTAGCACTCAGAAATAACCAAGTTGTGCAACACTCACAAAATACGTATCCAGCAAAGGTTGCCCGCCTCGCCTCACAGAGAGGAAAAGTTCCTGAAATGAAATATATAGGTAAAAACCCACAAGCACATACCTGACCCAAAAAACGTCCTAAATGGGTAGTAGCAGCCTTTGCGCTCATCAGGCAGTTCTCCTGGGATGCTGTGCAAGTGGAGGTATGTAGAAATCCTGCTCGCCTGGATGGCCACCAAATTGCCACCAATCCCTGGAACACAGCAAAACAGCGTGGGTAGCCTCCTATGGTAAACAACCTGCATAAATTCAGCCCGCTGCAAGCCTCTCTATGTCACGCCCTGGGCCAATGAAACAGAATAAAAAGCTCTTCTGAGACGCAGATTTATTTAAGTGGAGGTAGATATTCCAAAGGCATGAAAAACGTTGTGATGAAAGACATTATTTTTCCAAGTCTGACTTTCTGTCTGGTCTGAAAGCAGACCAAAATGAGTACTTTTTAAAAGTTACTATCAATCCCAAGATATAAAACAAGGTTTTTAAGATGTATCACGTTTATCATCTTCTTGAGAGAGAACATATGCTAGATTTATTCAAAAGACAAGGCTAGATACTTTTCTTCTCAGGTTACTGAAGAAATCTGTATATGGCACTAAAAAAAAAAACTTCAAGAAAGTTATCTTTTAATCTAGATTATCTTCTTATATGCTCTGCACATTCTAAAGCTACATAAAAATTTAATGTAGAGTAGAAATTTTAGATATAATTTGGATCTTGGAGAACTTACCTTCATAATAAAATGTTTTCTTATACATAAATAAATAAAAAATAATTTATACTAGATGTATATATATCCTGTGACATATTTTCCCCAGGCAGAATTACTTTTTAAATTACTAGTATATTCACTTGGGCTATACTCAAATCCAATTTAATGAGAGCCAGACTGAAACCCAGAAGGACTGGATTAAAATTATCTTATTAAACAGAATCCATAGAAAAATCTCTGTGAACTTAAGTACTGTAATTCCCATTTTATAGATAAGAAAAAACATTAAGCAGATTTTAAAAGGATAAGCAGAAGACTGATTGATTTCTTTTTCTTTTTAATTTTTATTGAATTTACTGTGGGGGATGACAGATTTTCATGGACTCAACTGACTCAAGCAACTGAGTCAAACTAAGCTAACTCTAATTTATCCATGAAAATTGATAGGAGCGGCTGTAAAACAACACAACAGATAGCAGATACAGCCCAAATATCCAGAACTGAAATAGCACATTTTGCCTCACTACCCTTAAAAATCAGGTATGCCCGACTCTCACACTTTTATCAGTGATAAGATTAAGAAACAGTTCTTTTTAAAAAATGTGTTCTGCATGTTGAAAAAGGTAATGTCATTTCCACTCTGAGCAGCAACCTGGGGTTTTAGAGAGAATGAATGGATGGGACAGACAGGCCTCTTTAAATCAGAGCCCTAAGGTTCCTATTGGCATTTAAGAGCACAGAAAGACTTGATATCGTTATGAATAGTATATCTAATCCTTACCATTAATAACTGGTGTGTAAACAACAATTCCAACCAAGTTTGGATCGGATACAGTTGTGTCCAGAATAAGGCCTCCAATGCTGAAAGATACAAAATCATATAATTTAGGGAAGAGGAAAGGAAATGTAGTAATTTGAAGCTGTTCTTTATTAACAAACCCCTACTTTTAAAGACAAAATGATTAGCCTGAGCCTGATTGGTGTCGCTCAGTGGTTGAGTGTCAATCCGGGAAGAAAAAGGTCATTGGTTTGATTCCTGGTCAGGGCATATGCCCAGGTTTCGGGCTTTATCCCCAGTAGGGGACATGCAGGAGGCAGCCAATGATGAAGTATCTCTCCCATCGATGTTTATATCTCTCTATTGCTCTCTTTTTCTCTCTCTCTAAATATCAATAAGAACATATTTTTAAAAAGAGATTGTATGTTCCTTTTTTTTTTAAATATATCTTATTGATTTTTTACAGAGAGGAAGAGAGAGGGATAGAGAGTTAGAAACATCAATGAGGGAGAAACATAGATCAGCTGCCTCCTGCACACTCCCTACTGGGGATGTGCCTGCAACCAAGGTACATGCCCTTGACCAGAATCGAACCTGGGACACTTGAGTCCTCAGGCTAATGCTTTATCCACTGAACAAAACTGGTTAGGGCAAGAGATTGTTTTAAAAAATAAAAAAAACTAGACACTAAAAAATAGATAAAATATATCCAAGGTAAAAATCAATGTCAATACAAATGTTGAAAATAAAACATAAGCTGTAGCCCCACATTTCAGGGCTCTCTTTCTGATCTCCAAGATAAATTACTTATAAAAAGGAAAGTATATACTTTAAATGCATATACAATGAACACTTGCAGAAAAACATTTAAAAATATTTCTGTTGCCCAGGTATTAAAACTTGTTATAGAAAATATAAGTAAAAAGAAGCAAATAAAAATCAACCATAGTTACATCATTCAGAGTTATACTGTTAGCATGCTAGTAAATGCCCTCCCAGACATTTTAAAATGTGTTTATGTTTAAAAATAAAAACTTGAATTGTAAAAGTATTTTCTTTCACTTTTATTATATTTTATTTCTAGCATGCCCTAGCTGGTTTGGTTCAGTGGACAGAGCGTTGGCCTGCAGACTGAAGGGTCCTGGGTTCAATTCCGGTCAATGGCACATGCTCAGGTTGCAGGCTCCTCTCTGGTCTGGGCCCTGGTCGGGCGCATACAGGAGGCAACTAATCGATGAGTCTTTCCCACACGGATATTTTTCTGTCATTCCCTCTCGCTTCCAGTCTCCCTGAAAATCAAAAACTAATTTTGTTTTATCCTCGGGTGAAGATAAAACAAAATTATTTCTAGCAAACAAACACATGAGCATTATTTAAAAAGTGAAAGCACCACGAAGCTTATGAAATAGTCCCTGGTCCCACCCGCCAGATCCTGCCTTCCGCTAGCAATTCTTTTCAACAGTGTTAGTTGCTTCTTCTGACATTTAATTCTGTATTTCTAAATAACACATTTTCCCTACTATTTCCTGACTTACAATTTCAAACATTTCCCTAACGGCATCCACTGTGGCAGATGGAGGGTTTAATCTCACTCCTCCCTCCTCACTTTAGTCCCTTCACAATTCTCTCCCTCTCTCTATCCTGACAGTCTGGTTATCATTTTTGGTGAAACATTTAGGGTTTATTTTATTATAACAATGGGATCATAACTCACAACTGAAATACACAGCATCTTGTTAGATTCCTCACTTGTACTGTTAGCTTTGTCTCATATTTTTCTTAAAATTTTTAGTTGCTTATTACTAATTCAGCCTCAAATGTGTAGCAAAGTTAATGACATGCCCCTGATTACAGTCAAGCTCATCTGACAGGTGATCAATCGATTCCATTCTCTTTCTTCTTGGAGACATTACTCCTGAAACCTACTATTCTCCGAACACCTGGACAGCTGCTCTCTGGGCCTGGTGCACGGCTGTCATCCCTACCTACCCTTCAGGCTCCCCACGAGGAGGCCTCGTCTATGACTGTGACCAGCTCCCACCCAGCATTGCACAGGATCCTGTTTCCTGAATCCTCCCGGGGAAAAAAACAACCTACATTACAGAAAAACGAACCTATCCTCATTTCTATGTCGTCTTATATCTTACTTCCTTACTTTGATAAAATTGTCTTTTGTCAACTTTTATATGAGAGGGCATAAGGGAAAGAACTATATTGAAATCCTATGTGTCTGAAAACTTCCTGAGTCTGTTCTTATGTTTGGTTGATACTGAGGCCATATTTTATGTTCACAAAATGATCCCTCGGAATTTTGAAGGACTCACTTCTGATTCCCAATCCTTTACGTGCAACTCGTTTTTATTCTGGAAGCTCGGGGATTTGTGACTTCGTGCTTTGGTTTGGGTCCCTCCTACTCCAACTCATTGTGCTAGACCTGCCATGGGCCCTGTCACTCAGGAAGCCCATGTTCTTCAGTTCTGGGAATTCCCTTATGTTATTTATTTGATAATTTCCTGTCCTTACTGTTTGCCTCCAGTTGTCTATCTCTTTGTTCTCTGTTCTACTTTCCAGGATGGTTCTACCTTCTATCTATTCTACTGATTTTGTTTCTGCTATTTGTGTATTTCCGAATACCAAGAGCTCTTCCTGTTTGTTGTTTGTTGTTGTTTTTTTAAATATATTTTATTGATTTTTTACAGAGAGGAAGAGAGAGGGATAGAGAGTTAGAAACATTGATGAGAGAGAATCATCGATCAGCTGCCTCTTGCACACCCCCCTACTGGGGATGTGCCTGCAACCAAGGTACATGCCCTTGACCGGAATCAAACCTGGGACCTTTCAGTCCGCAGTCCGATGCTCTATCCATTGAGCCAAACCGGTTTCGGCTGTTGTTGTTGTTTTTAAACCCTCCCTTGAAATCATTCTGTTCTTACAGAATTGTGGATGCTACCACTTCACTTATTTTTCTGAGGACATTGGAGATAGTTTTTTTGAGGTTTTTCAACTCTCTCTAGACTTTCTTTTTTGAGTACCATTTTTTGTCTCCATCTTTCCTGTCAGAAGCCTTAATCAAATGTCTGGTGAAGGGCTAGTCTCCCCCTCCTGACAGGGCACGGGAAAGCACAATTGGAGCTCTGTGTGCGTGGGCAGAGCTGGTCAGCAGGTGGGCCTCACTGACCAATGGCCAGGTGGGCATGCAGCTCCTTCACTAAAAGACCTGTCTGGGTCAATACAGGCAGGTTTTTCTGTTGAACTGAAGTCCTTCCCCCAGAAAGACATTATCTAACTTCTTGCCTGGAGCTATAAGCCTGACTGCCAGCAGGAGCTTCTGAATCTGGAGCCTCTCCCATGTAGTCTCTCCAGAGTGAAGTCTTGTCTTGTGCCAAGGTGGGAGGGGCAGTTACTTGGGTGGAAGAACTAGAGAAGGGCTTTTGCTTCTTACATACACTGCTTCTTACATACACTGTTAACCAATCTTCATTTCAGCTTTCAGAGTACTCAAGGCCCGAATTCTCCACCTTTCTGGGTTCCTGAGGCTCAGATCCCTGTGCTTCTACTAGGTGCTCCCCCTGCTGGTGGTTGGGTTTTAGCTTTTATTGTTCGGTTCACAACTATCCACTTGATTCCTATCTTGGGAATTTCCCACTTGCTGTCCTCTCAGTTTTCCTTCTTTTTGTAGTTTTATAGCTTTTTATCTTTTTATTGTCATATTGGTAGTTTCAGGAAGGAAGATAAACACTTCAATCTACTATGTTTAACAGGAAATTGATACTCATTTTCAGCTTACTCTTTTCACCAAGAATATAATGAACACCTTTCCCCGTCAAAGAATTATAACAATGCTACTTTTAATGGCTGACTGAGATTCCTTTTTGTGACTGCATCACACTTTATTTGATTAATATCTGACTGCTTGGCCTCTAAGGCATTCTCTCTTTCTTTCATTAAAAATTCCATGGTGATTAGGATCCTTGGAACTAAATCTGCTGCGTATATCTTTAATTATATCCTTAAGTCCTGTCAGAGGCCTAGAAGTGGAAATAGTTGAAAGGTATACACATTTCTAAGGGTTTCTGATACCTATCTGAGCAATTTACTATGAAAAACAAGAAATGTTCTTGTCAGGTTACAGCATATACACACAAAAACACACCCACACATACAAAAACACACCCACAAAGGCAAACACCACTAAACTTCACTTAGCAATCTGGAAAGATTTGGTTGGAGAGAAGTTTAAAACTGGTAGCCAGCCGAAGCCGGTTTGGCTCAGCGGTAGAGCGTCGGTCTGCGGACTGAAAGGTCCCAGGTTTGATTCCGGTCAAGGGCATGTACATTGGTTGCGGGCACATCCCCGGTGGGGGGTGTGCAGGAGGCAGCTGGTTGATGTTTCTCTCTCATTGACGTTTCTAGCTCTCTATCTCTCTCCCTTCCTCTCTGCAAAAAATCAATAAAATATATTTAAATAAATAAATAAATAAATAAATAAATAAAATAAAACTGGTAGCCAAATGAGGTTCTCTACATCTACTGATTTCTGTAATTGCTATCATATATACTGAGTGGCCAGATTATTATGATCTCTGAACACATAATAATCTGGCCACTCAGTGTATATCATATATAATAAAAGGCTAATATGCCAACCACCCATGCCCCCCCCCCCACCAGGCTGGCTGGACCCCACCCATACACGAATTCATCACCGGGCCTCTAATACACACACACACACACACACCATAACAAAACAACAAGAGTGGCCAGACTATTATGTGTTCAGAGATCATAATAATCTGGCCACTCAGTGCTTATCCATGATTACTTTGGGTAATAAAGAACTGAACCAATATGCATAATATAATTGACCCAAGAAATAAAAAAGGCAATTGATTTGTTTTCATGTACATATAGATACAGGCATATGGATTGCGTACACACACACACACACACACACACACACACACACACACATTTAATACTAACCTACTTATAACCATAGCTGTTATGACAGGCTCCCAGCCCGAGTGGAGCACTGTCCTCGTGGCTGGATGTTTGGCTGCTACAATAATCCAGATAGGAGTTAAAGCCAAGAAAAAGACACCAACTAATGGAGAGATGTAGTAATAATTCTCTAAAATTGAAAAAGAGACAGCATTTCAGTATCTGTTCTAACCATGTAGCAAATATTAAAAATTTACCAGAAGATATGCTATAAAACATATTCACAAGCTATTTATTTTCTACAAATTTCAAACAAATTTAAAACTATAGATAAAGTGCCCAGCCCGAGTGGCTCAGTGATCGAGCATCCACCTATGAACTAGGAGGTCACTCTTCGATTCCCAGTCAGGGCACATGCTGGGTTGCTGGCTCAATCCCCAGTGTGGGGCATGCAGGAGGCAGCTGATCAATGGTTCTCTCACTTCATTGATATTTCTCTCTCTCTCTCCCTCTACCTTCTTCTCTCTGAAATCAATAAAAATATATTTAAAATAAATAAAACTGTAGATAAGATAAAAATGTTAACTGAAAACTAATACATTAATTCAGCAAACATCTACTGAAATACCTATGTGTCCTATCAATAGTAGGATGGGAATAACAACAATAATAATAAAATAATAACAAAACAACAAGAGTAAAAAACCTACTTATTTGGCTCCTATTATTAACCAAGCATTGTGGGAAATGCTTTATATTCATCAACTCATTTAATTGCCCTCACAAGTATGAGAACACTGTCATTCTTTTATTTTCTATTAAATGTATTGGGGTGACATTGGTCAACATAAACATACAGGTTTCAGTGTGGGTTTCTATGTTATGAGATATGTATGTCATTTCTAATTAATAACAAACTGAGGCTTTAGAGTTCATAGGATAGAAAACTGGGGAAGAGGAACTATCAGAGAAAGAGCCTGAGAACTGACTATTGAACCTTAGTGTGAACTCCACAAAACTAGGCCAAGAATAATTGGGGATTTGTCACTTAAGACCTACCCCCCTAGAGAGGTCTCGGCTCTTTGAACACCGAGAACATTCAGTGGACCCAAGAAGGGTTGTGTTTTCATAGCAAAGCTAGCCTTAGTGTCAGGTATGCTGTAGATTCTCTCCAATCAAACTGAGGACCAAGCCTTGCCCTAGCTGGTTTGGCTCAGTGGATAGAGCACCGGCCTGCAGACTAAAGGGTCCCAGGTTTGGTTCTGGCTAAGGGCACATGTCCAGTTGCAGGCTCGATCCCCAGTGTGGGACGTGCAGGAGGCAGCCGATCAATGATTCTCATCATTGATGTTTCTATCTGTTTCTCCCTCTCTCTTCCTCTCTGAAATCAATAAGTTAAAAAAAATTTTTTTTTTAAAGAACCAAGCCCTGTGAGGCTCAAATAACAGCCCACAAGAACAAAGTCCAATACTTGGCAAAGAAAAAAACAATCGAGCACGTAACAGTATTACATTCACAATGTCAAGCATCCAACCAAAGATTACTTTTAAGAGACTGGGATAATATTCAGTAGCATTTACAAGCTTCATTAAATACGCTGAGAAATCCTACTTAACATTAGACATTTCACCAGTCTCATAAAAGTATCCAAGTACTTATACTAATCTTTATAAGTCTAATAAATTAAATGTACTAATACAGTGAGTCTTAACTTTTCATAAATATTCACATACATACATATACAAATTTGGTAAGATTTTGATTTAAAGACCACAAGAATAGGTCAAGTACTTAATTATGAATTTAAAAACGGAATTAGAAGACTGACGAGTTACTCCAAAGGGCTAAGTAACAAGTGCACATACACTCACACACAAAAAATATGTACTGCCTCACTGGCATAAAACCATGAGTCAAATTATCAAATATTTTATATTTAAATCTTTAAAAACTGCCTGTCTCTTCTTGAAACAGCTACATCATTCCAGGACATTTTGGTTATATCACTTTAACTGATGGAGGTATTGTTATTATCAGAGATTTCAGCCAGGGCATTCTGGATTCTTCTCAGTGACTCTAATACTTATTTTGTATAGGAGAGACTTCATAACTTAAAGACAATTGAGTTCACAGTCCCTGTAGCCTTAGATTTAAGTTAAACGTTACTAAATTTTCCTGACATCTCACAAAATTCTTCAACCCTATTCATATTCTTATCGTTAATTCAATTTTGTATTTCTTCATCTTCCTAACATATTTACAGAACTTCTCACCTAGGACTAAAGAGATTTTAAAGTAGATAAAAACACAAACTCTTTTCTATCAGGTAGGAACAATTTACTACAGATATTAAAATACTATCCAAGCAAACTTTATTCTTGTGCTTTTATCTGATCTTCCATCACACCTTCAAAATAATTATACTCACAAAATTCATTTAAAGATTTTCTTCTATTTAAAGGACTTGGACTAATACTAAATAGTTTCATTTTTTTTCTCTATGATTTTTAAAAACTTAAAAAACAAAACAAAACACCTGTATTGAATGGATTCCCAGTTTTCCTTTTTAAACACTGGATAAGGATTTTTTAAAAATCCTAATTAGGAAGCATTCTTACCTCCTAAAACAAATAAGGTTGCCAACAATCTCTTTATAGGGTTAAACAGAAACTAAAAGCATTAAAATCCATTTAACACAATTGAAAAGAACTATTTTGCTAGGTCAGATCATCCTAGTATTTCATTTTTAGGTCAAAAGAAGAGCACCATTCCAGGCTTTTAAGTTATTCTCAATATTAAATCTCTGGAAGGTCATCTGAAGTTGAAAAAAAAAAAAAAAAATCCACAAAAACACTCATCCCAACCCCTGAATCACTGTCCTGAACTTTCAAAGAAAAGAAAAAATTTCTCGGAATGAAACTAAAAATAATGAGTGCAGTTTCTCAAACACTTAACCAGAGTTATCATATGACCCAGCAATTCCACTCCTAAGTGTGTGTCAAGAGAACTGAAAATAAATGGTCATGCAAAAGTGTACAAGAATGTTCATAGCAGCATTATTCATAATAGCTAAAAAAAAAAAAAAGTAGAAGCAATCCAAATGGCCATCAGATGATGAATGTTAAGCAAAATGTGCTATATTCATACAATGGAATGATGTTAATCCATACAATGGGATATTACTCATACTGATTCATGCTACAACACAAATGAACCTTAAAAACATTCTACTTTGAAAAACAGCCAGACATTGAAGGTCGCATATTGTATGATTCCATTTATTGAAATGTTTAAAATAGGCAAATCCACAGAGATAGAAAGTAGATTGCTAACGGTTGCCAGGGAATGGGGGGAGGGAACAATGGGGAGTGACTGCTAAAGGTGTCTTTTTATGATAAAAATGTCCCGGAATTAGATGTTAGGATGCACCATCTGATGAATGTACAAAACCCCACCAAATTGCACACTTTTAAAAGGTGAACTGTATGGTATCTGAATTATTATCTCATTTAAAAAAAAAATTCCAGCAATAGCCCTGGCCAATGTGACTCAGCTGGTTGAGCACCAAAAGGTTGCTGGTTCAATACCTAGTCAGGGCACAGCCTGATGGGCTGGATCTCAAGTAGTGAACATGCAGGAAGCAGTCGATCAATGTTTTACTCTCACATCAGTGTTTCACTCTCCTCCTCCCTTCCCCTCTCTCTAAAAATCAATTTACAATAAAAAATAAATTGCCACTTTTTTTTTAATTTCCAACAATATTTAAAAAAAGGAGGGGAGACTATATTCTTCAAAATTGTCAATGTCATAAAAGACAAATGTATATACATTTATACATACCGGTACGTAATATTGAGAAAAAGAGAAAGCAAATGGGGTAAAATCTTAACATTAGTTGAATCAGGATATAGAATATATAGGTGCTTTTTTTTTCTATTCTTTTTATTTTTTGCAACGATTTTATATATTTGAAATTATCTCCAAATAAAAGTTTTTAAACCCTAAAAAAGAGAGAGAGAGAGAGAGAGAGAAAGAGAGAGAGAGAGAGAGAGAAGGAAAACCTGATAAATAAAACTAACTAAAATGGTTTACTGTGAATGTGTTCTATTTCAATTTCCTAACAAACCTAACACACCCATTCCCATCAAATTAGATCATATATATATATTTGTATAGGATTCTCCTTCCTTTTCCTTGGGTAATTTCTAATCCAATTCTGATAGCTAGGGAAAAATTACAAATATAGAAAAAAGGAAGTACTAAAATATTCCCCTTTTTAGGATATACTGGTGTTTTATAGGTGTCACAAAATTGAAGAATTTTAGAAAACTTTTAGAAAACCATTAATGGCACAATCAGCAAGAGAAAAGGTAAAAGCCAACCACTGCCTGGCCAGCATTGCTCCGTGGTTAGTGTGTCAGTCAGCCTGCATAGTGATGCATCTCTCTTTCCCTCCGTCTTCTCCTGACCCTCCTTTCCACTCTCTTTAAAAATAAATCAATAGGAAAAAATATCCTCACTCCTCCAGAAAGGATTTAAAAAAAATAAAAAAATAAAAAGCCAACCATTATCCAATTCTAGAAATTTCCCCACTTTGCTTTCTCCTGCCTCCTTAATTTACCATCAAGGGATTTCATGTACCTTCCTTGTGTTTCTGTCCTTTGATTCTAAATGCATAAAAGGAACTCAGAATGCCACTCTCCAGAGCATCTTCTCAATCATTTACGATCTTGCTTCTGGGCATGTCCTCAAAAACTGGGCTTAGCACTAATTGGTTTGGCTCAGTGGATAGAACATTGGCCTGTGGACTGAAGGGTCCTGGGTACAGGAGGCAGCAGAAACTAAAAGCATTATGATTCTCTCTAATAATTGATGTTTCCAGCTCTCTCTCCCTCTCCTTTCCTCTCTGAAATCAATAAAAAATATATATTTAAGAAACCCTCTGAAGAAGAGTGATAGGCACAATAAATTTAGATTCTACTCACAGCACCACACCAAGGCAGTGACATTCTAAAATGTCGTGTAAACAACCAGGTGGCATCCTTGCTAGTGTCCATAGGACTGAAGCAACAACTGAGGCTGATTGTTACTGCTCTTACAGCTTCAACCAAGCCATAACCTTGAAGAAGGAGAAGTCAACATTTTGCTTCTCGGAACTTGCTCAAAAAGAGAAAAGCGGATAATTTTCAA